AGCAAAATATATAAATATGTTGTGTTCATATATAAGTATAATAATAAAGTTCTCTTTCTATATACATTTTTGAGCGATTTCCGGTTACCAGAACTAGAGTAATTACCACTTTCTTAAAACCAATAACTTGAGTACAGTTTTAAATTAGGTGAGTGATTAACATATAAGTATAATAGTGTATGCGCTGTTTCCTAATCAAATCCTGAACGCTTTCCGTTCGTCGGAATTGGTACTTTACTCTATTTCTGGCTTCTAAAATACCGATAATATGTATCTTTTTTCGTTTACCGTGTACGGAAATAAGCAGCACCGAACCATACTATATTTACTATTAATATAAACATAATCTCGGCTCTTTCTTAATAATAATGTCTCGAGAGAGCTGAATCAGAGCTCCAAGCCGACGATTACTTATATCAGTAGTAAATTAAATCTTTGTTTTATTTAGATGTTCCATTGAAATTCCAATGTTAATCATTCACAGTTGAAATAGTACTCACCAGGAATAGACCTATACACACTAGAGTAGTTGTAACTCACGATACATAAGTTTACTCACATACCATGACTAAGTTCAAAATCGCACAATTTGTTCGCACAAGGTGTATGTCCCCACCCATGTAAAACACTACACGTTTTTGCAGACATTACCTACATACACCGCACCAGGTCCACGGATCGAATCCCACGGAGAATCAGACGACGAGCAGGTTCCTACAAACAGACAAACGACACAAAACGGCAGCAGCGCCACCATTTTGAACCGCTTGATGACGTCAAGTCGAAATTTTACAAATCGACGTCCAGTTAAAGTAGTTATGTTTTTTGTATTTGTTTAAAATTGGGATTCCTTTATTGAGGTAAGTAACCAGAATTATATGCCTTGTACAACACAATCAAGTTGCATTTTAAAAAATAAAAATAAAAATGAAATTCCAAGCGTCAAACTTGAGAAGACCAAAGTCAAATGAAGTTTGCTAAGAAATATCTAGATCCAAATACACGTGAATTCAAACATTATGAGCGAGCTGATGGCACTGTTATACAAGGGTTAACTAGCACTAAACACCGAGGTGATGGCACTGTTATACAAAGGTTAACCAGCACTAAAGACCGAGGTGATGGCACTGTTATACAAGGGCTAACCAGCGCTAGAGACTAGCGAGAGACTGATGTAGACAAGGCTGTAGGTGGTTGATGACGCAGCTTGTTGCTCCATGTGGCCTCCGTCTTGATGTCCTGTTAGCTGTCAGTCACCCCAGCCTCGGGTAAACAGAGCTCCCTGTGACGTTTCGTGAGGGGGGGGGGGGGGGCAAACACAAGCGTCATAGATACGACTGCGGAGGGGGTCTTGTAAAATAAAAGTTTTAAAGGAGGGGGTCTCAAGAGAGGGGGCTTTAAATAAGGGTATAAAGTGAGGGTCCTTTAGGGGTCATCCATAAATGACGTCACGCTTTTTTGGACGATTTTTACCTCCCCCTCCCCTCCGTCACACATCGTCACAAAAAGCCAGACCTCCCCCCTAAAATGACGTCACACCTCAGCCTACAGCCCCCCCCCCCCCCCGTCAAAATTGCAGTTGAATTTTTCTTAAAACATCGATATTTTTTCCAAAATCTTGTCTGAACTCTGTCAACATAGAGTGTTTTAATCAATTTCTATTACAATTTATTAAAACAGTAATCTAAAACGTGAAATAACGGCTAAAAGTCATTTTCCAACATTATTTTTTGTTAATGGAAAAATATGACGTCCCACCATCTTAACCCCCCCCCCTTCCCCCATCACATGCCGTCACAAAATTACGGCAACCCCCCCTCTCCCCTACGAGTGTGACGTCATTTATGGACGACCCCTTTAAGGGAGTCTTTATGGGATGGTCTTTTAATATGTGTCCTAAATAGAAAGCAAACCTACGGGCTCGGTCGACTCGGTACAGCTCATGGTTGCTAAACTGAGAAGTCCCGAGTTTGAACCCTTCCCCCCCCCCTTGGGTTTTTGTTTTTTGTTATTTTCAATGCATGTAAAAGCATATTATTTTTAAAACATTTTTTTTTGTGTTGTTGTTTTATTTTCCACTTTATAATAATTCGTGACAAGACAAAAATAAACCGGGAGTGATCTCCCCTTTCTCGAATATTCTAATATAACACTACGTGGGATGGCAACTCGGAATATAGACATGATTTTTGTTTACTTAAACTTTTAAAAGTAGAATAGAATCTAGATCTAGTAGAAAAAAGAATTGCGCACCAAGCGAACGTCAAAACAAAATGTGCATAATAGTGCGCAATATTATTAGTACTTTATAAATTTACACGCGTTTTTTGAGAAATCGGAAATAGCGTAAATTAGTACTTCCAGTCAACGGAAATTACTCAAAATTTGACAGAAGGTAGAGAACTAGATCTTTTACTTACAAGTGAAATTTCATTTATCTATCTGAAATAGTGCTCAAGTTATAGGCTTTTGAAAAATTCAAAATAGAAAAATGTACCACTTCCGGTTATCGGAAATCGCTCAAAAGTTGATACAAATCTACGATTCCGATAAAATACTTATAAATGAAATTTCATCAACCTAGCTGTAACGGTACTCAAGTTATCGTGTTTACACACAGACAGACAGACAGACACACACACACACACAGACATACGGACAAGATTGCAAAATTATGTTTTTGCACGATTACAATACTTTCTCTATACTTCGTATATACGAGAAAGTAAAAAACCAGCCTAGAATAAATTGCGTATCTGAATATAGTAATTTCTTAATTAAATTGTATTAACGAGTAAAATGTCTAATTGGTATTAAATACAAATTCTTACATCGTTATCGGAGACGAATGTATCCAGAGTTTCTTCCAGGCATCTCTTCAGGCGGGGGGGGGGGGGGGGGGGGGCTCTGCCCCCCTCCCCGAAGAAAATCTACCGCCCCCCCCCCCCCCCGAACGAGATGGATTTTATTTAGTAAACATACACTTTTACTAGTGTTCGCCCCCCCCCCCCCCCGGAGAAAAAAGTCTGGAAGAAACACTGAATGTATCTGGAAAGTTTAAACGAAGAGTGTTTACATATGCCCTAAAGCCCACAAACGAGCAAACAAACAAACAAAAAACACGAACAAACTTTGTGAACTAAATAAAAGTTTATCGCCACGTTGTACGAATTTGTACACATGAACACATTTCTCTTCAAGGAAAAATACGAATTTTATTAATGGTTTGTACTATTTTAACATTTTTTTCTAAATTTTATCACAAGGTCTGTTTTTTTTTCTGCTTTCCATTAAAATTTTCAACTTCTCAAATATTAGTAAAGGTATCCAATCGGTACTAAAGTGACCCACGCTTTTCTTTATAGTAATTTAAATAGTGGTCTATAATTTATTTTCTACTTTTTGGTGCATTATTACATAAAAGCTTGTTATTAAAACGTTTTTTATGAATTTTTTATCAACAAGTATTTGGGGACTTTGCAATGGTGTGCTCATATTAATGTATCAGTTTAATTTATTTTTTATTTGCTACATGTATATGCTATTTAAACAGTTTTTACCTATGAAGCTTTAGATTTGTGTCTGGTTATGCCACATAATATACCCAACCACCATAATATATTGCTAACCAAGATACACCAACATAACCATCTACCAACCAACATATTGATGCATATTTATTTTTATAAATATATTCTGAACTTGTCAACCTACATTTTAAAAACAAAATGTATGTATAATCTTGAAATTTAAAGGGAATACAGTTGAAATATTTCACCCTTCAAAAAATAAAATAAAAAAATAAATCAATTTAAATAAAATTCAAAAACTTTCATCAATATTTGATCAATTAAATAGGCCTATGCTTTTAAAACCTCCGTCCAAATTAGAGTTGATGAATGGTGGAATAAAACATATGTCAAAATTTAATCAATCAAATATTTGGTGTTAATATCTCCATCCAATTTAGAGTTCATGTAAGTTTAGCTTGTGCAGAAACCACAAGCAGAGAGGTGGGATAAAACTTATGTCAAAATTTAATCAATCAAATATTTGTGTTAATATCTCCGTCCAAATTAGAGTTCATGTAAGTTTAGCTTGTGCAGAAACCAGAGAGATGGGAGACAACTTTGAGCAGGGTCATTTTTTTTGTGTTCCTTGGAAACATTTTGATCAGTGTTAAAGTTTGAAAGTAGAGAACTACAATCTTTAAATAATTTATTCAACATAAATGTCAATGTAATGTTTTTTCTCAACACTGCATAGTCTTCTTCTTCTTCTTCGTTCTTAATTATTAGTGTTGAAGGGGATAATAACTTTTAAAACTAAATTTTGTAACAGTAAACAGAGATACCAAGTATAATTTTAATTGAATCAATGGTAGGTCTACTCAATTAGTTCATGTTGTGATCCCATGTTGTTTTAATTTGAATTGAATCAATGGTAGGCCTACGTACTCAGCTCATGTTGTCATCCCATGTTGTTTTCATGAAATTTAATTCTTGGGAACTGCCCTGGACAAAAAAAATTAAATAAAACAAGCTTTTATTTAACTTGCTTCCTCTGTCTTGCTTGGTCCGTCATTGATCAAAACTGCAGAGCAAAATTTTGATTTTACTTCTAACTGGTAAAAAGGTAGCAGGTTAGGCCAATATGAAGCTAAATGAGCACACAAGTCACAGCCCTTTACAGATAAATTGATCTCAAATGGTAATACTGGTAGCATGTATGTGTGTATATGTGTGTGTATTCTTTTGACAGTTAAATATGATTCATAACATAGATACTGGATATATATATATATATATATATATATATATATATATATATATATATATATATATATACATATATATACATACATATATACATATATATATATATATATGTATATGTATATATATATATATGTATGTATATATTAAATATATATGTATATATAAAAACAGGTATTTCACAACGCACACAAAGTTTATAACACTTTTTATTATAATCACTAGGTAAAACCTTTTAATGCACAATCACTTTAATAAAGATATAACAATGAACTGTTCCCTGTGGAAGAGCTCTGTGACTAGCTACTCCCTGAATCAAGTCGATTCATCTGAGTTTCCTCCCAGCCTGCTTCCCACAAACTGTCCAGATCAGTTTTGGCCTTCTCTGTCAACAAACGCATCTGGCAAGCGGGTAAAAACATTTTTATTCATCCATATCAATGAAAACAATTGGTAATTTAACATGTGTTGGTAGAGTCTGTGTATTTAGACTGCAATGTGGTTGTGCTTTAAGTACAGGCAATATGGTAGCCATATAGTCACATAGCTATCCCAGATTGTCACATAGCTTTCCCAGATTGTCACATAGCTTTCTCAGATTGTCACAAAGCTTTCCCAGATTGTCACATAGCTTTCCCAGATTGTCACATAGCTTTCCCAGATTGTCACATAGCTTTCCCAGATTGTCACATAGCTTTCCCATATTGTCACATAGCTTTCCCAGATTGTCACATAGCTTTCCCAGATTTTCACATAGCTTTCCCAGATTGTCACATAGCTTTCCCAGATTGTCACATAGCTTTCCCAGATTGTCACATAGCTTTCCCAGATTTTCACATAGCTTTCCCAGATTGTCACATAGCTTTCCCAGATTGTCACATAGCTTTCCCAGATTGTCACATAGCTTTCCCAGATTGTCACATAGCTTTCCCAGATTGTCACATAGCTTTCACAGATTGTCACATAGCTTTCCCAGATTGTCACATAGCTTTCCCAGATTGTCACATAGCTTTCCCAGATTGTCACATAGCTTTCCCAGATTGTCACATAGCTTTCCCAGATTGTCACATAGCTTTCCCAGATTGTCACATAGCTTTCCCAGATTGTCACATAGCTTTCCCAGATTGTCACATAGCTTTCCCAGATTGTCACATAGCTTTCCCAGATTGTCACATAGCTTTCCCAGATTGTCACATAGCTTTCCCAGATTGTCACATAGCTTTCCAAGATTGTCACATAGCTTTCCCAGATTGCCACATTGCTTTCCTAGATTGTCACATAGCTTTCCCAGATTGTCACATAGCTTTCCCAGATTGTCACATAGCTTTCCCAGATTGTCACATAGCTTTCACAGATTGTCACATAGCTTTCCCAGATTGTCACATAGCTTTCCCAGATTGTCACATAGCTTTCCCAGATTGTCACATAGCTTTCCCAGATTGTCACATAGCTTTCCCAGATTGTCACATAGCTTTCACAGATTGTCACATAGCTTTCCCAGATTGTCACATAGCTTTCCCAGATTGTCACATAGCTTTCCCAGATTGTCACATAGCTTTCACAGATTGTCACATAGCTTTCCCAGATTGTCACATAGCTTTCCCAGATTGTCACATAGCTTTCCCAGATTGTCACATAGCTTTCCCAGATTGTCACATAGCTTTCCCAGATTGTCACATAGCTTTCCCAGATTGTCACATAGCTTTCCCAGATTGTCACATAGCTTTCCCAGATTGTCACATAGCTTTCCCAGATTGTCACATAGCTTTCCAAGATTGTCACATAGCTTTCCCAGATTGCCACATTGCTTTCCCAGATTGTCACATAGCTTTCCCAGATTGTCACATAGCTTTCCCAGATTGTCACATAGCTTTCCCAGATTGTCACATAGCTTTTCCAGATTGTCACATAGCTTTCCCAGAGCTTCACATTGCTTTCCTAGATTGTCACATAGCTTTCCTAGATTGTCACATAGCTTTCCCAGATTGTCACATAGCTTTCCCAGATTGTCACATAGCTTTCCCAGATTGTCACATAGCTTTCCCAGATTGTCACATAGCTTTCCCAGATTGTCACATAGCTTTCACAGATTGTCACATAGCTTTCCCAGATTGTCACATAGCTTTCCCAGATTGTCACATAGCTTTCACAGATTGTCACATAGCTTTCCCAGATTGTCACATAGCTTTCCCAGATTGTCACATAGCTTTCACAGATTGTCACATAGCTTTCCCAGATTGTCACATAGCTTTCCCAGATTGTCACATAGCTTTCCCAGATTGTCACATAGCTTTCCCAGATTGTCACATAGCTTTCACAGATTGTCACATAGCTTTCCCAGATTGTCACATAGCTTTCCCAGATTGTCACATAGCTTTCACAGATTGTCACATAGCTTTCCCAGATTGTCACATAGCTTTCCCAGATTGTCACATTGCTTTCCCAGATTGTCACATAGCTTTCCCAGATTGTCACATAGCTTTCCCAGATTGTCACATAGCTTTCCCAGATTGTCACATAGCTTTCCCAGATTGTCACATAGCTTTCCCAGATTGTCACATAGCTTTCCCAGATTGTCACATAGCTTTCCCAGATTGTCACATAGCTTGCTGCAGACGGGCTCTCTAGAACTCTAGAGGTCTAATGGTAAATAATTAAATAATTGAAAAATCATTTTCCGCCACATGAGAATAATAATATTTTTATCTTAACTGATGATTTTTTGTATTAGGTGTAGGCCTACAGATTTTATGATTCATCACCAACATTATCTACACACTTTAAGACATCACCAACATCAGTGTTTCAGTCCTTTTACTACAAAGGGTGGAGGGCGGTGCTTGAAAATAATGGGTGGTGGATTTTAATTTCCAGGTTTGGGGGTGTGGTAGACATTAAGGTGTGTGGGGGGTGGAGGGGAGGGACAATGCCCCCAAAGAGATGCCTGAAAGAAACTCTAATGACCATTATGTACATACCTTATTGCTCATTAGCCCCGTTCGTTTCTTTTCTCTGAAAATTTCAACTGGTTCTTCTTCCGGCATTGGTTTGCGGACCACAAAATACCTGGGAGTATAATAAACAGCAAGTGATTGTACCTGGGACTATAGTATACACAGTGATATTACCCAGGAAAATAATATACAGTCATGATTGTACTTTGGAATACACTATATAGTCAGGAATTATACCTGATGATATATTTTAAAGTCATGATTATACCTGGGTAAATTATGAGTAATTAATATAAACAATGATCCAAAAAATGATTGTTTATAACAAGTAACAAGATGACTACCACCTCACTAAGTAACAAGATGACCTACCACCTCTCTAAGTAACAAGATGACCTACCATCCCCACATCTAAGTAACAAGATGACCTACCACCCCACATCTAAGTAACAAGATGACCTACCACCCCCACATCTAAGTAACAAGATGACCTACCATCTCACTAAGTAACAAGATGACCTACCACCCCATGTATAAGTAACAAGATAACCTACCACCCCACATCTAAGTAACAAGATGACCTACCACCTCACTAAGTAACAAGATGACCTACCACCTCACTAAGTAACAAGATGACCTACCACTTTACAACTAAGTAACAATATGACCTTCCATCTCACTAAGTAACAAGATGACCTACCACTTTACAACTAAGTAACAATATGACCTTCCATCTCACTCAGTAACAAGATGACCCACCACTTTACAACTAAGTAACAAGATGACCTACCACTTTACAACTAAGTAACAAGATGACCTACCACCCCACATCTAAGTAACAAGATGACCTACAACCCCACATATAAGTAACAAGATGACCTACAACCCCACATATAAGTAACAAGATAACATACCACCAGACGTAGTTGGTGAGTATGAATAGAGCCAGAAGAGCAGCACCAATTAGTATTGGCGTGTATGGCATATCTGTTGCGCTGGGCGGCTCTACACAAGAAAAAACACTTTCAATACATAATGAGTTTAATAAATAATGTTATTCAATAGTTATTCAATATATGATGAGTTTAATAAATAATGAGTAGTTATTCAATATATGATGAGTTTAATAAATAATGAGTAGTTATTCAATATATGATGAGTTTAATAAATAATGAGTAGTTATTCAATATATGATGAGTTTAATAAATAATGAGTAGTTATTCAATATATGATGAGTTTAATAAATAATGAGTAGTTATTCAATATATGATGAGTTTAATAAATAACGAGTAGTTATTCAATATATGATGAGTTTAATAAATAATGAGTAGTTATTCAATATATGATGAGTTTAATAAATAATGAGTAGTTATTCAATACATGATGAGTTTAATAAATAATGAGTAGTTATTCAATACATGATGAGTTGAATAAATAATGAGTAGTTATTCAATACATGATGAGTTGAATAAATAATGAGTAGTTATTCAATCTATGATGTGCTGTTAGTTTTAAGATTATAACATTCGCGCATATTTATTCCGCTTAAAACAAAAAGTTAAAATCAGATTGTAGATGTGTTATGGGTGAGCAGTGGTGTATGAAGGTGGAGGGGTTAAAATCCCCATTCCATAAATCCCCGGCGTGACTGTTGTCTAACGTTAAGTGACGCCGATTTTTCACTTCACTGTGTCAGTGTCAATTTAGTTTTGTTAGTTACAATATGAATATCATACAACTACAATTTTAAGCTCTCAAACACATTATGGTGGATACACTACAGCCAATTTGTTAGCTGCCTGCCTAATTCAATGACCAGAGAGCTTAACATCGACAGCATATTTCATACAATGGCAGGTCACTGCGCGAATAGGCCAGTGTCTCATGTAGGTTACTGTACCAATGGACGACTTCTGGCTATGACTCTAACCCACACACACACACATATATACATTTACATATACATACATATATATATATATATATATATATATATATATATATATATATATATATATATATATATATACATATATATACATATATATACATATATGTATGTATACACATACATATACACATACATTTAACTCACTGTACTCTTTAATAGATGGGTCCAGGGCGTACTGGTTGATACATTGTTGTTTGTTGTCTGCAGGAATAAAATCAAGACAAATCTACATTAGACGCAGTAATATCACCACTAAATACTAAGAAGCTCTATAACGATTACCACCACTGAGCATGAAATTACATAAAACACCATCAGCAAATTGTCTGACAAATAAAGCCATCAAATCTATAACGAGTACCTGACTCTTGTCCACCCAAGCCTATCTAGAACTAGACTCAAGACACATTACGACGGCTTGGTGACGTTCTGATTACACAATCCCTCAGCTGACTGAACAGATGAACTCTACTCCATCTGCCCACAGGTCTTAACAATGGTAAACACACACTCACCTTGTCTGTAAACCACCGCAGGTTTCCCATTGGCCTCACATGGACTGCACGCCCCACTCACGGGATCACACCCACAGTGTGTGGGAGGTTTTTTACAAGAGCACTTTTTGGCACAGTCTTTACCCCACCTGTTAAAGGAGCAGGCTGGGAAGGTGATGGTATGTGGAGGTTAGGGATGGTAGGATGGGAATATGATGGTATGTGGGGGTTAGGGATGGTAGGATGGGAAGATGATGGTATGTGGGGGTTAGGGATGGTAGGATTGGGAGGTTAGGGATGGTTGCATGGGAAGATGATGGTATGTGGAGGTTAGGGATGGTAGACAATGTATGTAGAGGTGAGGGTTAGTAAAGTAGCCAAGAATATCAAGTTTTAATGTGGTTTGTGTTGTAATCTTGTGTCTGTGGGTGCTTGGGTGTGGGTTCACAGCACGAATCTTGCAGTATGGAGATTTGTCTGTGTGCTGTTGTGTGTGGCTGTGTGTTATGACCCACCAATCTTGCAGTATTTATGGTGTTAGCAAGTCTGTGTGTGTGTCTGTATGTGTATGTGGTTGTATCTTTCTGTATGGAGGTTATGGGTTGCTGTGTATGTACGTGTGTGAGAGAGACTGCATGCCTTATAAGACTGTGTGTCTGTGTACTATTGTGTGTAACACTATGTGTATGTGTGTGACTGTGTATGCATGTTCCTGTGTAAGACTGTTTACGTCTGTGTGTGTGTCTGTGAGTGTGTTTGTGTGCTTGTGGTACACAGCGACTCACGTATCTTGCAGTACGGTGTGCTACTGTGTGTGTCTGTGTAAGGGGCGTAGCGAGGGGGGGCGGGGGGGCGGACCGCACCGGGTGACACCATTTAGGGGGGTGACACCAAGGCAAAAAATAGCAAAATATATAGAGAAAAACTCGAGGGGGGGGGGGTGCAAATCGAAAGTTTGAGGGGGGTGCAAATCGAAAGTTTGAGGGGGGGGGGGTGCAAATCGAAAACTCGAGGGGAGGGGGTGCAAATCTAAAGTTTGAGGGGGGGGGGTGCAAATCGAAAATTTGAAAGTTTGTCCCTGGGAAGGGTCTCTATGCCTCTGGGGGGGTGACACCATTAAGTGCCGCACCGGGTGACACCCGACCTCGCTACGCCACTGGTCTGTGTGTTTGTCTGTGTGTTTGCGGTACACAGCGACTCACGAATCTTGCAGTAGGGCGGCTGAAGTCCAGACTTACACCCAGCGTTACACTTGCCCGTGACCGTGTTACAGATGGGCCGAGCGTCCGAGCAATTGCCACAGGTTGAACGACAGTAGTGGCCATAGGTCCCAGGCTCACACTCTGAATTGAAGAGAGAGAAAACAAATGCAGGTGAGTTTTAAACTTTCAAGGTTTTATAAATGTGGGCAAACTGGTGTGATGTTGGCCACCATGGTGTGATGTTGGCCATCCTGGTGTGATGTTGGCCACCATGGTGTGATGTTGGCCACCATGGTGTGATGTAGGCCACCTGGTGTGATGTTGGCCACCATGCTGTGATGTTGGCCACCATGGTGTGATGTTGGCCACCATGCTGTGATATTGGCCACCATGCTGTGATGTTGGCCACCATGGTGTGATGTTGGCAACCTTGGTGTGATGTTTTAAAATAAATTGGCCTGGGGTGTTCGCCAGAGATGTTATTGGCAATTGGTGTCATGTTGGCCACCTTAGTGTGATGTTAAATTCACTGGTGTTATGTTGGCCACCCTGTTGTGATGTTGGCCACCCTGGTGTCATGTTGGCCACCCTGGTGTGATGTTGACCACCATGGTGTGATGTTGGCAACCTTGGTGTGATGTTGAATCCCCTGGTGTGATATTGTAAAATGAGTTGGGCCTTGGACCTGAAATAAGGACTTTCACATGCTGACATTGACTTCAGATTGTGTTAACAAACCTGAGGTGATGTTAACTACAGATGATGTTTTATTAACCTGAGGTGATGTTAACTACAGGTGATGTTAACTACAGATGATGTTTTATTAACCTGAGGTGATGTTAACTACAGGTGATGTTTTATTAACCTGAGGTGATGTTAACTACAGATGATGTTAACTACAGATGATGTTTTATTAACCTGAGGTGATGTTAACTACAGGTGATGTTTTATTAACCTGAGGTGATGTTGACTACAGATGGTGTTAACTAATCTCAGATTATGCTAACTACAGATGATGTTGTCCACACTGATGTAACACTGACCAAACAAAAACAAAGATGACTAGAGTAATTACTTGTTTTACACATTGTCCCCGTGTAGCCCATAGCACACCCGTTAACACACATGCCATTGGTAACCTGACAGAAGACTGGCCCACCCTCACATTGGCCGCAGACATGGGTGCACGTGCTTCCCCAAGTTCCGGCCAGGCACTCTAAAAACAATACTTCTGTTGGTAATAATGCTGTGGTCCACTAATGACTATATGTATATATATATATATATATATATATATATATATATATATATATATATATATATATATATATATATACAGGGAGGAGGTAACTTAAAATTTCAGGGAGGGAACTAACACTTAATTTAATTACGTAATGTTTGTTTATATTTTGCCAAGTGAGGGTATGGTGGATATGCTCCGAAGTCATTGTCCCTCCCTCCTTGTCTGAAAGAAACTCTGGTCAGGTTTATGGTAAGAGTTAGATTACTCTATAAACTTAAGGTACGGTAGGTCTGTGTCCTAAGGTTAATTTTTGGATTTATGGATTTGAGTTTGATTCAGAGGTGGAATAGTTTTAAAAAAAACTGATCACTTTTTGTTGACATTTTACTTAGCAAGTAACACAAAAAAAAGTGTATCCACTAAATTGTGGATTCTGGCACATTACAACTCATTATCCAAGAAAGAAGATTGGGCATAATATAGATCTATTTAATTATATTAATTAGAAAAATTGTCTAAAGATGTATGTAGTATGTATTGCAGTGTTTGGAAATATTTTACACTTTAATAAAGGTAAAATTCAATAAGTCACTGGTAATTTTTTTAAAATTACTTCTTGTAATATTTTAACTTTTTTTAATATAGATCTAGATTCTAGACTAGATTAGATCTATTCTAGATCTAGTCTAGATTCTAGATCAACTTTTTTTTTCTCTAAATTTTGTACTAAAGTAACTAAAGTAAAAAGTAGGCAATCTGTGTCTTCAATTTTTACAGTTTTTTTTATCAAAATATTTTGGACACTGGGTCTAATTATAATTACATTAGTATTAATTAGATAAAATTTTGAAAACTTACCAAAACTGGCTTTTGATAAATTAAAAAGGAGTAGATCTAGTAATAAAAAGAGAATTATCATTTCAAAATTAGCAGTGTCTAGTGATCCGTTCTATTGAGGAGACAATCCAAGCTAAACTAGCATGAATTATAATAATTTCAGAGTGCTCTACCTTGTATTGTTCTTCCGGAAATGTTTTTGTTTGCTTGTAAACATGGCTGATTTGGTGAGCTAAATTTATTATTGTCAATGGTACGTAAGATAATAATATATCCGACTTTCAAAAATTAGACACTATTCTTTTCACTACTACCAATAAATAGTTAAACTGTTGAGTTAATAATAAGAGTAAATTGCGATATAGGCCTACAGGTTTTTTGAACTGCTTTTCAGCGGCGTAAAATGTAAAATCGAGTAGAGAACTGACTGAACCGTGCATTTGATTTCTTTTTCAATGAAAAGTAGGTTTCTGTTAAATTATGTGGATCTATATATTACGATATGATTTTAATCTCTCATGCAATGTTTCCATATGATTGCAACTAGTGTGATGCTGCATATGATGCACCAACATTAGGCACTAATAATTTAATAGATTTTCTCACTAAATCTAAAATCTAAAACTTAGGTAGGCCTACTCAATTTTCAATTTAAACATGACCACTGAATAATAAACATCAATATTTAATCCACTAGGCACTAATTTTTATGTTTTTAGTTCGTTTTAAACTAGGCCTAAATTACTTAATTTAATATTTATGGTCACTCACTGCCATGCACAACAACAGACCTCTCCATGACAACACAACTTACGTCTGAAGCTACGGCAAACCACGAATCGGTTCCACTTTTTAATTGGCTATGCACCATAGTTCCTCACTAGTGATGAGCCAAATAGCGGTCACAATATTTGATTATTTTTTTCATAGACTGATAAAACTAATAATGCTTTATGTTCTCGCTCATTTCTGTACCTACACCATTGATATTTTAAAAGTTCTATTAATTTTAATGAAACCAACTTTTGAATTTAGCCTCCATTCTCCAAACCAAATTTTAAAATGCTTTTCTGGCATATCTAGCCCTGCCACCTATGGTTTGTTTTTATAACGCGAAAATCCCGCCATTTTGCTCGTGGTAAACATTTTAATCAGTAATTCTAAGAAGGTCTCTGGAACTAAGACAAAAAATCGTCGGAAGTCATGCATCTGGTGTGTACGCCATATTGTTGTTAGCAACCGGCCACGTCTCTGGGTTAGCGAATAATACAAATTATTAGGCCTACAGTACTACTAAAATAGTGATTTTTGTCATCGAGTGTCAAACTGAATGTCCATAAACATTAAGTATGCAAACACAAATCAAAATTCTACTGTAATTTATTGAGACATAATATTAATAATTAGCTATTATGCCTCAATCAATCTTATTATCATCCCTTAACTAAGTGTTGGTGGGGGCAGCACAATTCTTTTTTTTTTTTCATAATTTTCTGCTGATGTTGTATTTGTCAGTTCATGGTGCCATATTTTGTCAAATACCTTCTTTAAGTCTTAAAAATGTGGTGAAGATGTTACTGGTGTTGTAGGTATTTTACCCAAAGATTTACTCTGTTGTGCTGCATCCCTGTCTAAAGCCTGCCTGTTCTTCAGCAATGATCTTTTCAGCTTTTGGTTGTCATCCGTTTAGTATTTTGTGTCACAATTATCATCTGTTAAGGGGATGTTTAGTTTTAGTGTAGATCTAGCCATGGTTAGATTACTGGTACTGTTGACCTGTTATTGATTTTAATTAGGCTTATAGATTTCATTTTAAAAACAGTCTAAGTTGACATTGAGTTTATAATGTCAATCCTTACGTCTCAGGTTCTCACCCCATTAAGTCTTATTCTAAAACCTGCTCAAAAATGGAATCAGGTGAACATGTTTTTTTGCTTATAATTACAACAGGGTGACTTTCTTTTTTTTAACAACATAACCAAGTGTAGGCTATAATTTTGCTTTATTTTTTTTCTCGTTAGCAGAATGATCACATGTTTATTTAGCACCTCATCACTTCGTGACTCACATTCCCCAACCTACACCACTTTATAACTGTTTGCTGCAAAATTATTTTAGCATTTTATGTTAAAACATTATAATACCCATTTTCTGAACACCTGGCACCTAATTTAATACTGCCATATTTATATATATATATATATATATATATATATATATATATATATATATATATATATATATATATATATATATATATATATATATATATATATATATATATATATATATATATATATAAGCCTATATGTTTTGTTGTAAGGTATTTAATACTATAAAAAATAATATTGCTCTCTAAACCTACAATGCCACAGTTGCGATAAATTTAAATGATATTGTTATAGTAGTAAGTTATTATTTCCACTGGAAATTTGCATGAATTCATTGATCACCAAGATGGAAAAACCATGGCCTATTGCTTAATATTTCCCATAAGTCTGTTTGAAGTAATTTGTTAATTAACCAAGTCATTCTAGTAAATTTCGGCCAACAGCTGTGAAAACATGTTTATTCTTGAGTTGGCTTGACACAATAGGCACTGTAGTGTATATGTTCGTCTTTTTGCACTGTTTGCACATTCCATTTTTTTAAGTGAATGACTGGACTCATATTTCTAAATTAGTAAAATATACCATTACAACAGTAGTGCTTTTTGCCGCCAATGATAGAGGAAATATGCAATGTGCTTATGTCCTCTTACTGGCTGTCAAAAAAATAAACAATGTGCTTATATCCTCTTATGTTGAGAGGAAATAAGCACATTTTTTCTTTCCTGTATCATAAAAAAAAAAAGACAGAGGTAAAAACTCATCCATGAAATAAGCATCTTTTTTTTAACATCTGCGTGTCACCACTATTATGTGTTTCTATTTACCTTTGTCATTTTTTTATGCTATAAAAGATCCTTATTTATTTCATTTATCAGTATAAATTCTTAATACCTTCTCTGATTTTAATCATAATACCATTTTCTTAGACCAACCCTTGCCTTATTCCTAATCCTTACTAATAATTCTAACCTAACATATTATGTGTTTAAAAATGATATTATGAATGCCATATGCACAATAGACAAAAAAAACTCATCTTATTTCTAATCGCCTCATTCTTGAAATATAGAGTGTTGCTGTACTCTTGATTCTGCCACAATGCTTGAAACAGACCTTTAATAATTGCACTTTATGGAATAAA